ACTCACTCGTTTGGCTTGCGGTTAGCGGCCGCGCCGGATGTTTGAATCAGTATGTGTATTTGTGTACATATGTGTGGGGAAGAAAGAATACCAGAAATGCATCAACTAGCGGTTTCTACAAAAACCAAATGAAATTCTGAAAAGCCAATATGAGAGTCGTTAAAATTTTGCCAATACCAGCTGATGGCATATAGATGATATACAGACATGGGGGAGTATAACCGAAAGCGCAGTTCGATGCTTTAAATGAACGCTTTTCGAATATTTTTTTATTAATTGCTTTTTAATGGTCAAGTGATATGTGGTATGCATGTATGCGCAAATCAGATTACTTTTCGCTACTGACATTCGGTTCTGGGAAGTTTTTAATTTTCTTATCGAAGAATTTTATGTAAAAGTCACCTGCTTAATTAAAAATTTTATAATAAAGTTTTAACAGTTTTAAACATTGTAGGTAAAACGAATTACTTTTCTTAATTGCATTATTCACACCACAAATGTTTTTTCCCACTATAAATAACTTTTTAATTGTTTTATTTGATTTGTTAGCGCGTGTTTACGAAACTACTTATTTGCCTCTCTTTTAACTAAATAAATTTAGCGTGTCAAATGTACTTAAAATACAATACCAGCTGTTTTGCTCCATTTTTTCATTTTCATATTTTCCCAACAAAACATATTTATCAAGAGAAAAAAAACATATCAGCTCGGTGGGATGCTTATTATATTGTACTTACATATTTAGTGCGTTAGTTATTTCTCACACGGCGGGTGGTCTCCGGTAGCAAAAAGCTGTCGTTTTGCTTCAATTTGTAATTCTACATATTGAAAATTAAATTGAATGTAATCTCCTTAAAATATTTCGTTATTTTATTTTATTTGATGTAATTTAATTTTACTTAAATTCATTTAATTCCATTTCAATTTATTTAATTCTGTTTATATTTTTTAATTTAAATTAATAGAATATTATTTTCTTTAACTTTTTATTTTATTCTATTACATTTTATTTAATTTTGTTCTAGTTTATTTTATTTTAATCTACTTAACGGTTTTTTCATTTTATTTTCACATTTTTTTAATATTTTATTTAATTCGTTTTTTGATTTTATTTATTTTATTTTATTTTATTTTACTTTTTTAGATGATTTTGTTTTTTATTTTATATTATTTTATTTAACTTTATTTAATATTTTTTTTATATTAGTTTGCTTTATTTTATTTAAATTTATCATATTCTTTTACATTTTTTATTGTGTTTTACTTTACTCTTTATTATTTGACTTCATTTTATTTTATTTTAAATCGTTTTATTTCATTTTGTTTTAGTTTATTTTATTTTTTGTTTCATTTTATTTAATTTCATTTAATTTCGTTTAAAGCTATTTATTTTTTTATTTTAAGTTAATTCAATTTAATATTAGCTTGTATTATTTTATATTATTATATTTTGTTTTATTTTTTTTATACCATTCCATTTTCTTTTATTTTCTTTAAATTGTTTTATTTTATTTTGGTTTATTTTATTTTATTTTATTTTACTTAATTTAATTTTTTTTTGCTTCACCTTATTTTATTTTATCGTTTTTTATTTTATCTTATTATATTTTCTTTCTTTTTTTATTAAATTTCACTTTATGTTATTTAGTTAGATTGTCTCATTTTATTTTCACTATTTTTTTTTAATTTGGTATATTTTATTTAACTTCACTAAAATTTTTTCATACTCTTTATATGAAATTATTTCAATTAAATTTATTTTCATATAATTCTATTTAATTTAATTTTAATTTATATTTTCTATTTTATTTTATTTTATTTTATTTTATTTTATTTTATTTTGTTTTATTTTATTTTATTTTATTTTATTTTATTTTATTTTATTTTATTTTATTTTATTTTATTTTATTTTATTTTATTTTATTTTATTTTACTTTATGCTTTTTCATTTTATTAATTTTTTTTTATTTTACTTAGTTTAAGTTAATTAAAATTTGTTTGATTTTAGTTAATTTTATTTCCTTTTAATTAATTTTTTTTGTTACAGTTTATTTTATTATTTTGAATTTAATTAATCTTTCTTTATTTTATTTTATATTAATTTTTTTTTATTTCTTTATTAATTTTTTATTATATTGTATTTTATTTTATGTTATTAAATTTTTTATTTTTTGTGTTATTGTGTTTTACATTACTCTATTTTATTTTAAATTATTTGATTTAATTTAAGTTTGTTTTATTAATTACATTTTATTTAATTTTTTTTAATCTGACTTTATTTAAATTTTTTTTGTGAATTCTATTTTATATTATTTGATTTTATTTCACTTTACTTTATTTTATGTTATTATTTTTTATGTTTTAATTAATTCCAATTCACTCTATTTTATCTTGGTTTGTCTAATTTTATTTAATTTTTGATTTTTCATTTTATTTTAGTTTGGTTTATTTAATTTAATTGTAATTTATTTAATTTCATTTAAAATTTTATAGTACTGTTTATTCTAATTTGTTTTAATATAATTTTATTTTATTTTAGTTCATATTATTTTGCTTTTATTATATTATTTTATTTGATTTAATTTATTCAACTTTGTTTTATTTTCCGGAATATCACTTATTTTATATCATTTTTTAAGTTTCAAAATTATTTGTGAATGACATCATTTGCAGACAATTCGACATTGCATTGAGTCAATTTAATTTTCGCAGAAAAAATATGCAATTGGCAATTTACCGTTGATTTGCTTTTTTTTTTGTCCTACCCAAGGCCTTGAAAATTTGGCTTTGTGCTAAAAATGTGAAAATCATAAACAATTTCTTGCTGCTACAGCTCTTGATTCTTACTGCGTTTTTGTACTAATTTTCTTCTTAAACTTCCCACATTTGCTCATATTTCCACCTGATGCTGTCACATTAGTGGTTCAAGAAAATTTATTTTTATTTTGCGCCATCAGCAAGCAATAAATCCTGAACCTCTCAGCATCTGAGAGAATGTTTATGGTTTGTTTTCTTGTTGATTTACAACACATACATCTTTACCACACCAGTTGTTGTGGTGGTGTATGACACTTTGCGGCCTTAGTCAAATCTAGCAAATAAATTTCCTTTTACAGCTGATGACGCGAAACATTTTGCGCTCTCCTTGTTGTTACTCCACTCTCGGCTTGAGTTTGATATATACAAGTTAATATTTTTGTGTATTCTTTCTGAGACATTATTGCAACTCTACTGCCTGTTATCTCATCTGTTTTTCTAAAATTTCCACTACCCTGTTATGTAATAATTTTTTTTTTCTCGCATCCTTTATTTTCCTTTCACTAATATTTTTTCTTTCACTTTTCTTCTTAAAAAATGTTTCCCAAATTTTATATTGTGCTCTTTACTCTTGTACTTATCAAAAAAGGCTCCACTCATTCCACTCTTCTCGAGCACTCGGTACCTTAATGTTGTTACTTTTCAGCCTTATCCTGCCTCGTTTCAATTTTTATTGCTTTTACCAACATTACAAGTACATATTTTTATTACTTCGCATATTTCCCGTCAAACTTGTACATAATTTTTCGCGGCATAAACTTCAGATTACATACATAGGCAAGTATGTGTGATCCCTACACGCCAGACGCACGGTATAGCAGATGTTGCGGAAAAAGCTGCCAGATTGTTTGAGTGCTTGCTTGTCTTAACGTTTGAGTGGTGCATTACGTTGCTCATAAGTCATTGTCTATCGTGTGGAGGGGAAGGGTGGAGAGTGAAAAGTGTATTGCTGTTGGTTGCTAATCTTTTTTAGAAGAGAAAGCACTTCGTACGAACAGCTATGATTTATTATATTTTATTGCTGTATGAAATTTAAAATTTCTCATAAATATTTGAGTGTGTTTTTCGTAAGTAAAAAATAATGATGTAAGATTTTTGTTTTTCAGATTAATTTCAAAATGTGTTGAGAGAAATCTACCTTAATTTTTTTTTTTTTTGTGTAAAAATTTCTTTTTTTTATAAACCATTTTGCTACTGAAAATGGGCTTCTGACAAAAAAAAGATGTTTCCGTTAACACTTAATCAGTAAGTAATAAGTTTAAGTCTTAATAAATTATTTGGAGAAGAAAGCGTTCCAAACATTGATTGGTAGCCATAAATAACGCCAATTCTTTATTTTTAAATTTTTTTTTTTATTTATTTGAATTAAATTTTTTTATTAGTTTTTAAAATATGGCACCCAAACGGTTTAATGCCATGGAAAAAAACATTTTATTGCTTTTAATTTTTTTTTAACAAAAAAATCCAGCGAATGTTTTTTTAAGTTTCAGAAGGGCCGAGAACTTTGACAGAGCTTCGAGAACTGTGCTCAGCTAATTTGCTTTTAAAAAGCAATTGCGCTCTTTTTCATACAATTTTTTCACTCACCTCTTGCTGACTTTAAAATCTGAGTTGAAAATTCAGAACTTAAAAAATAATAAACAAAATTTTCATATTTTGCTGAATCGGAATAAAAGTTTAATGAATATTATTTAATTATTGATTTATAAAATAATAATAATTGATATATAAAAATTTTAGATTTTTTTATTACTAATTTTTTATTATCTGTGACAATTTGTAAGTTTTCAAAAAATTAACAAATATTAATAAGGTCTTTTCTGTTTTCTCATTTTAGCTTCCGATTATGTGGACCAACTACTGCTCGCCGCTTGATTGATTTGAAACCTAACCAAAGCTAGCTAACGATAAATACAAAATTACATAAATGCCAAGTAGTTTCAGAATTATTGAAAAAACATCTAAAAAAAGATCTAAAAAATATGACCAATTCTTTGAAATAAAAATATATTTTTTTTGAGGTTGTTTATAGCACAGTTGATGAACGAATAACTATTTTCCGTTTTACTTGCTTACTAATTAGTAACAAATTCTAATTCGTTTTTAATATTTGTTTATACATAAATATATTTGCTTTGAATTTTCTACAATTTTTTAATAAATCTTTTCTTATCTTCTTTCAGTGTAGTGCAATTGTAGCTAATAAGTTTTAACCTGTGTGAAAATATCATAAAATATTTTATAAGAAAAAATTATTAATTTTACATCAAGGTAGTGTATAAATGTGTGTTTTTAAATCATAACCCACCTAAAAGTAAGAAAAAGCATTTAAAAGTGTCGAAAAAAAACGGAGACGGTAACGGTATCGGATACGCGTCGGCAAATTTGTGAGCGTGTGCAACTTACTAAATATTATAAAAATAAATAAAATAAATAAAAATAAATAAATTTGTATATTAAAAATCCTCTAAGTGTTGCTTTTCAATACAAATACCCAAATACATATCTACGCTAATTTGAATTATCTGTAGTTAATATAAAATTTCAAAATTTTGGTAATTCCTTGATATTGTGTGCTTTTCAAAATCACTCATATTCTCAGTCGATATCGTAAAAGTGCTTTTGATATTCGCAAAAATTGCGTAGCGTTCTCGGGCGCGTGCGCATTTCAAATCCACGCAACGCGGACGTCGCCGCCAAAATGCATCCGCCAGCGGGCAAGCGATGCCGGCAATTAAATGATGCCACCAACAACACCAAAAGCAACATAATGGTGGAAGTACGACAAGCCAGAGAGTTAGGCGACATCGACTACAACGATACATCAACTGCAACAACAACAACAGCAACAACGAGGAAAATGTTCGGCAATCAGTGCCGCCAGCTGAGTGTTTTGGCGTGTTTCATCGCCATTATCGCCTTAAATAATTTCGGTTGTCTGCTAACGACAACAACGGCTACAATGCAACGGGAGAATATGCGTGTGCTGCCATTGCCAGAAGGTGAGTGCGCAAAAATGCGTAAAAAATTAAGAAAATTTGAAAAAAAAAAAAACTAATTTCAGCCAAAAAAAAAAAAATAATCAAAAAGCGTTATTTAAAATCTTTGAAGATAATATTAAATTTTTTTCAAAGCGTTTTCAACAAAAAAAGTTGGTTTGCTTACTGTAACCTTCAATTCTAATTCCCGCATTCTTTAGCAGCAGTTAGTGCATTCTTTAGCAGTTAGTGAGGAAGAAAAAGTAAAATTCTTCTAATATGATTTCGAAAATATAAGTACATATATACTGTATACTTATATGTGTATAAATTTTTAATTGTTGGCAATAAAACAATGTCAACTGTGACATTTGAACTGTCAAGTCTAAGTGCTTACAGTTTACAATATAGCTGCGAACGGTGTGTAGATGTATAAATGAAAATGGTGATTTTATCACATAAAGTATTGTAGGTTTATTTTTACTGTTTATTACAAATTTGTAACAATTTACCATTTTCTTTTACTGAAATAATTTTTTTTTCTAATCCATTTAATTTTCATTTAATTTAATACAATTTAATTTAATATTTTAATTTTTTCTCTTAACATATTAACATCATTTATATTCCATTTTTTTATTTGTTTAATTCTCTTATATGTCATTTAGTTTGTTTTTAATGTAGTTTAATTTAATTCCTATCTGACTTAATTATATTATTTTTAATAAATTTAATTTTATTTTACTTAATTGTGTTTTGTTTTATTTTGCCTCATTTTCTTCCAAATCATATTATTTTATTTTATTTAATTTTTTTATTGTTTTATTTTATTTAATTTTATTTTACATTAATTTATTTATTTTCTTTTTCATTTTATTATACTTCGTTTCATTTTCGTTTTGATAATTTAGTTTACCTTATTTTAATTTATTTTTCTATTTTTATTTTAGTTTATTTTGTTTCATTTTATTTTATTTTAAATTATTTTATTTTATTTAATTTTTTATTTTATTTTAATTTATTTTTTATTTTTTTATTTAATTTAATTTAATATAATTAAATTTAATTTAATTTAATTTAATTTTATTTTATTTTATTTTATTTTATTTTATTTTATTTTATTTTATTTTATCTTATTTTATTTTATTTTTTTTTATTGTTATTTTATTTTATTTAACATTATGTTATTTTATTTTATTTTTTTATTCATTTATTTAATTTTATTTTTATGATTTTATTTTAAGTATATTCTTTTATTTTGTTATATTTTTCAATTTTATTTTAATTTAATTTAGTTTTAGTTTTTAATTCATTTTATTTAATTTTATTTTGTTTCAAGTTATTTGACTTTATTTTACTATTATTTTTTATTTGATATTATTACATGTATTTAAAGTAGCCTCATATATCGCTGTGTTCAGTCATCTATTAATTTTTAGGGTCATCAATACTTAACCATTGAATTTTTATGTGCATTAGGTTTAGTTTTTATTTTTTTATATTTACTTACGCACATAAAATGAATTCAATATCTTTTTCAATTTCTTGATTTCTACAAATAATCATAACTTCTGCTCCAATTGCTTTTAGTGCAAAATCTCTGCCAAGCCATCGATTGTAGTATTCCTAGTTCAAGTTTCAAAACCCATATTATATTTTATTTTTTATTTCTTTACTTCTACTTTCTACTGTTTGCAATGAAATCTTGCAAATGCTGCCACTCCATATACTTACACATTTAATAGGATACATGGAGATATGTATGTATGTGTGTATACATAAGTGGGCAGCACGTGTGTTGCATTGCCTTTAGTCTCCGACTCACGATCACGTGTGAATGCATTTGTATGCAATGGCACAAGTACCTGCACGTACGAGGCATTTGAAGGTGCACTGGTAGTGGAAGGCAAAATGTGTGAATGCATCTATGCAGATATGTCGTATGTGTGTGTGCAAGCGCTTGAGAGAGTTTCAATGAAATTGTCATATTGTTTTTCGCACACCACGCGTTGTGACACTTGATGATGTGCTGCATTGAAATGTTAATGCAGATGTACGTGTATGTTAGGGCGGGACAGAAATAAATTTAATAATTTTGTATACGCTGTTGACAAAGGCAACACCCATCTAGTATTTGGTAGAAACTTACAGATAGAGGAGGTAATTCAGAGGATAAAATTTGAGCTTCTCTACTGCTCATAATGCCTAGTAGATGTAGAAAGTATTTAACTAAACTCGTAGGTTTGTTGTCACAGAGCTATAAAAATCCAAATTTTGATCATGAATTTCTTTGATCAGTACAGAAAATCTCCATTAACTGGCTAACCCTAAATCTACATTTACCACTCCACAACCTGTTCTTTTAGAATATGTAAAATACTCTTCCATTCCTCCATATTTTTTTTTTTATATCGATAAATATTTCGCTTTAAAATCATATTTTCAGTTTTCCGTTTATTATGAAATGAGCAACATCATTAGAAATTTACTATCTATGAAAATAATAAGAATTAACTGTATTGTAGATGCATTAACTTTTTGGTGGTAGTTATCGATAAATGTTGAATCGATAATTTTTATGAAATAACTTTACTTGATGTTAGATTTCGATTTGCGATATTTATAAAATATTTTTTCGATACATAGCTTTTTTATATGTTTGCTTAATATATTATGACATCGAGAATTATATATTCGATAAATAAAAAAATAAAAAGTTTAATAAGAATTTATTATATTATAAATTCATTTCTTCATGTTAGTTATCAATGAACTTTCAATCGATATTTATAAAATGTTTTTCTAGATCGATACAATTTTATCGATAGAAATTTATCGATATTTTTGGAATATTTAATATATATAAAATGATTATGATGCGATGATTTTAAATTCAGTTTTATACTCACTTTAAATATTTTGTACTTTTCATTTTAATTACATTTTGCAGTGGATTACAGTGGCATCAATTTAGTTAGACTATCAGACACGCCTATGTGTGTGCTTAGAACTACATATGCACACGGACGTTAGTTTTAATGCTCTTGCATTTGCAAGCTGCGGCATTATTCTCTTGGGTAACAGGCACTAAAAAGCGTTCCTTACACTTGAGCTAGTTGTTGTTGTTTTATTGTTATTATTATTATTATTATGATTGTTGTCGCAAAAGCGCTTTGCAGTACTAACCATGCAGGCATACATATAAGCATGTATGTATATACACTAGTACATCAGTCTAGGACACTATACATATTTATCTTTACGTAAAATGTAGCTTCCTGTGTAACTTTCACTTGGTTGTTCATTAAATTTGAATATTTGAACATTTCATGCGAAATGGAGCGTGTGCGCATCACTTGATTCACTGCAATGTGCTTTCGATTTCCTCATCAATGTATCGTCTCGCCGCTCGCTTGCACTCTCTTTCTCCCTCCCACTCTCTTTTTCTCCATCACTGTTATCAACTGAAACTCGCTAAAACTATATATTCTAGACAACCTTGTGTCTGCTGGAAAGTAAAGTAAAGTTTTAGTGTAGAAAGTGTGTGTGTATGTGTGTGTGTGTGTGTGCAGTTTTCATAGGGACCTAACTGTAAATGTTTTTCCGTTGCTATTTTATGAGGTGTAAATTTGATGTTAACACATATTGTTGCAATTTACATGCATGTTCTATGTTTTTATGTATACATACATATATATTGAAAAATATTTATGTATATGTGCAAAAAGGTGTGGATGCAGTTTTGAGAGTGCGTATAAAAGCGCCAGAAGCAGCATGCTGCCTAGAGCTAGACGCATACTTTCAGTTGCTACTATGTATATTTGTATATAAGTATGTATGTATATATGCATTTTACTCTGCCTACTGTGATTGTAATGCAATTTTGTATACAACAGTTTGATGTTGCATTAACATTTGCATGGAGTAATATTCATTCAGTATTTCTATACACTTGCGTATAGAAAAATAGCAGCTGGCTTCACGCATTGAAAAACTGCAAAAATTTTTCCAACAATTTATGTGTGGAAAATTAAAGGCAACTTTAAAGTTCAACCATAACACATAAGGGAGTTATATATCGTTATTATTTTACAAAAAAAAAAAAAAAAAAATGTTGACTGTTCACAAAACAGCAGAATTTCAAGTATATGACAAAAACTTAAAAAAAATAGGTTAATAATAATAGAATTTTCTGGCTCTACCAAAAACTCAAGAGGCCATTTCGAGGACATCGTTTTGAGTCGGTTGAGCAGATTAAACGCAAATCGGCTCGCTCTCTGAAGGCCATACCAGCACGTGACTAGTTGGCATGCTTCGATTATTGGCAAAAGCGTTGGCATAAGTGCTATGCATTGGCAGGGGACTATTTTGAAGGCGACGAATGTATCGAAGTAGTAGAATAAATAAAAATTTTTAATTTTATATTTAAATTCACCTTACTTTTCGCTCACAGTATGTGTATATATTGATAAGTGATTTCTGTTATGGGATATATGCGCTCTAAGCCATAGCATGAAATTCATTAATTGATTTCCTCACCTACTGTCGTCAACTTTAGACCCCAAGGGTACCATTTCACCCTCATCGCTCTTTAAAACATTTTAGCGTTTCACAATGTGCCTCTCGACTGTTCTACTTTAAGTTCACTTTAACTGTCCATAAACAAATTGGTCAAATAATTATATGCTGGGAAAATATTTGTAATTTTTCAATTCGAGAAGCCTGCTGCTCTTGTTCTGCACACAATTGTATATAAGTCTCTAGTATATACTACATTTTACCTCTAATATACTCGTATGTATGAACAAGAACACCAGGCACTAAGGCATATTAGTCAATATTGGTATTACATTTTGTGTTCCGAGTAATTTTGCCAATTTAAGTTCAATCAAAATAGACACCCAATAAGTAACAAAACAAGCATAAATACCTAAATATATGTATGTACATGTGTATTTGTATATAACTTTGAATATAAATCGGCTTTGGTTGGTTTATTGATATACAATATATTGAAAGTTGAG